TACCGTGGCTAAGTCGGACTTCCCAAGGTACGGTCGCAGTTGGCGCACAAGTTTTAACTGTGCGAAGGCTCCCCTGGTCACCGCCGAAACCTGGGGTTCCAGGCTCAGCGGTGAGTCCAGGATCACCCCCAAGCTGCGAACCTGTGTCTTCAGGGGGAGTGCGACCCCATCCAACACAGGCTGTAATCATACCCTGTTCGGCCTTACGACTGACCAGGAGTACCTCTGTCTTGTCTGGATTCAATTTCAATTTGTTCGCTCCCCATCCAGACCGTCACAGCGGCCAAGCACCGGTTCAGGACTTCGACAGCCTCCTTAGTAGCAGGTGAAAAGGAGTGACAGAGTTGGACATCATCTGCGTACAGATGACATCTCACTCCGAAACTCCGGATGATCTCGCCCAGCGGCTTCATGTAGATGTCTTCATGTCTTCCGTTGACTAATGGCCACTCCAGTGAGGGTCTTCCAGGCATGAAAGACTCAGAGGTGGCTTTGCCGGTTCCTTCTTTTGAAGGAGAGCCTTCAGCAGCTTGCATTTATTAGTGGTCCCCCATCCAAGTACTATTCCGGGCCAACCCTGTTTAGCATCCAAGATCCAAGATTAGAAGGAATCTCACTGTGCCTTCAGGACATTGAGAGTATATGGAGTATCACATGTGCAGACTGGGACACGTGTAGCCAGGGGACATGAGAGTGCAGTTACGATGACAAAAGCTATTAAAGGGAGAAGATGGACGTGAGCGAGGCTGCCACAATTTGCTTTTGTGGAGGAGCCTCTTGGAAGGGGGAGATTCCCTTGCTCATGTTGCTGTTGATGTGATGTTTCCTTCTGCCCCACTCTTCTCCCCTCCTCCCTCCTGAATGGCGGGTCTCTCTTACATTCCAAGGCCCAACCTTGCAGGGAGATGGACTAGATGAGGTCCATGTGGTCTCTTCCAACTCTATGAGTCTATGATTCTACCAAAATAACATGTTCACCATCTTTCATGGGTAACTTTAGAAAGAATTATAGCTCATCAGGGGACAAGTGAAATGGCATTTACAACTCTTCAAAAAGGTAAAGAGAAAATCCAAAGGGGAGACCATTGCTCTTCAAGGCATGAGGCTTCCTGATCACAATACGCCCCATAAAAGAAGCCCCTTGGAGAGATCTAAATGCAGACCCACAGCCCTTCCGTGGACATCCATCCCATGGGAGCCCTTGGGCCCTTTTCCAGTTTCACCTGACATCTCTGAGAATGCTTCCCCTTCCATGCCGCCACACCAGACCCCCCCCCCCCTTGAGACACCCACTGAGTTGGCCATCACGTCAAGTGCCCTTTGTTTATCTGCACCGATACCATTGTATCAACCAGAGCTAGAACATCTAGCCCATTCTTACTTGCCTCATTGCATTCCTCACCTATTCAATACGGACACACGCTTCAAAATAGTCCAGCTGTGGCAAAGACCAACCATCAATGATAGACGGAGTTCTGGACCATTCAGAGAAGGAGTCCTCGCTGGACGTTTTCTGAACCAATCAGGGACCTGCACAGCTGTCTTGAACAGCTGCCAAACAGCTGTATATTTGTATGTTTGCATTGAGGGGTGTCAGATCTTTGGAGCTCTGTCTCCGCTGACATCCTCTCTGGTCACGGAGAATAAAGCCTCTGATTTTGCCTTCAGCCTGTCTGTGTCTCTTTTGGAAGCTTCAAAGAAGGAGACTCCACCAGATTCCCAGGCAGCAGCTGATTCTGCTGTTGAACAGCTCTTCGCATCAGGAGGTTCTCCCCAATGTTTAGGTGGCATCTCCTTTCCTGCAATTTGAATCTATTGCTCCTTTTTGTCCTAGTCCCTGAGCAGCAGATTACAAACCTCTTCGCTTCTCAATATGAACTCCTTTCAACCCTCTCCCTCCCCCATTTCTGCTCCACAAGCAGCCTGCATTAATGGGGCCTGGGAAATTGGGGGGGGGGGAGCGCAACTCAGATCACAACCAGATGTGTTTTATTGGGGGGCTAAATGGTTGCCCCTAAACAGGATAAGATGACAGGGGAGGTCTGGTTGCGGGAGGCTCTTCCTCAACAAACACAGCTGGATCTGGGGAGGGATGCCACGAAGTGGGTTTTGGGGGTCCCCAAAGGTCCCCAGGACCTGAAGAAGGAGGCAGAGAAGGGGACAGAACCCCCCCCCCTCCAAATTACTTGCAATTAAAAGGGGAGAAGCTGGACACTCACCCTGGGCTCCACGTTCCCCTGCCTGGAGACACTTCCATCATTTGGAAGGCCAATGGCCTGACATTGGCCCCTGTGTTGACCAGAGTTTATGGGATGCTAAAATTTTCAGGTGTGCCTATAAGTCAATCCATCCCAATGTTATGCAAATGTATTGATCCAGATGCAAACCTCTGAAGTGCCTCAGCAACCCCCAGACGCTGCAGTGGGCTGTGCAGCAACAAACCCCTCGGGGACCCCCACATGTTCCTTCCTAAGCAGGAGTTCTCTTTTGCTACTCGCTGCATCTTGTGGCAGGGAGTTCCACAAGGCCAGCGGATTACAAGGCCTGCCCGGGCCTTTGCTCAGGTCTCTGATAGCCAGAGGGCCCTGGACTCTTGTGCGTTCAGATGGGGAGGGCTAAGTGGCCCCTGAGGATCCCCCTTCAATTCAGGAGGCCTCTATGGCTGGCTCCAGGGAAGCTAGACTGGCCCCACTGGCCAAGGGTTGCTCCTTCCATCCAATGGCTTCTCCCTCCTTTCCTTCTCTTTAGGTATTTCTGAGTTTGTGGGTGTTTCTGCACTACACCATTAGGCCACTTTGATGCTGCTTTGGCTGCCATGGCAACCTTCCACAGGGTCTTGGGGTCTTGAGTCTGAAGATATGCTAGAGCAGTGTTTCTCAACCTTCCTAATGCTGCGACCCCTTAGTACAGTTCCTCATGTTGTGTTGACCCCCCAACCATAACATTATTTTCGTTGCTACTTCATAACTGTGATTTTGCTACTGTTATGAATCGTCATATAAATATCAGATATGCAGGATGGATTTTCATTCACTGGACCAAATATGCCCCAAATACCCAATGCGCCCAAATTTGAATACTGGTGGGGTTGGGGGTGATTGATTTGGTCATTTGGGAGTTGTAGTTGCTGGGATGTATAGTTCACCTACAATCAAAGAATATTCTGAAGTTCACCAACGATGGAATTGAACCAAACTTCGCACACAGAACTCCCATGACCAAGAGCATATACTGGAAGGGTCTGGTGGACATTGACCTTGAATTTTTGGAATTGTAGTTTACCTACATCCAGAGCGCACTGTGGACTAAAAAAATGATGGATTTGGACTAAACTTGGCACAAATACTCAATATCCCCAAATGTGAACACTGGTGGAGTTTGCGGAAAATAGATCTCAGCATTTGGGATTTGTAGTTGCTGGGATTTATAGTTCACCCACAATGAAATAGCATTCTGAACCTCACCAATGATAGAATTGGACCAAAATTCCCACACAGAACCCCCATGACCAACAGAAACTACTGTTTTCTGATGGTCTTGGTGACCCCTCTGACACCCTTTCGTGACCTCCACAGGGGTCCCGACCCCCAGGTTGAGAAACACTGTGCTAGAGCTCCCTTGAAGGGAGTTTCAAGCATTTCCTCATAGACTACAAATCCCATTTGGCAGTTCAAGTGGATCCAAGAGAGGTTTCTTGTGTGGGCTCAAGGAGGGGGCCTTGGCAGTCAGGGGTTGCATCTACGCTCTAGAATGAATGCGGTTTGACGCCACTTTAATCAGAAAAGCTCAATGCTATAGAATCCTGGGAGTTGTAGTTTTGTGCAGCACCTGCACTCTCTGGCAGAGAAGGCCAAAGATCTTGCAAGAGCGTCCAATTCCATGACTCCACAGCCTTGACCTGTGGCACTTCAAGTGAGATCAAAGTGCATTCATTCCAGGTGTGGATGTGGAAAGAGCTCCTCCTGCCGGGAGGGATATATGCCAGAAGGGGGCACCACTCCCCGCTTTATCTATATAGGATGTTGTGTGCGGAGCCATTCCTGCCTGGAAGGGAGCCCAGCAGGTGCAGCCTGGCCCTCCATCAAGGAGAATGGGAATCAGGGGCCAAGAACCAAGCCTGGAGACAGAGACTCTGCAAGGGGGCAGCCTTTGCTAAAAGCCTCATGAGGACAGCAGCATGGGGCTGGAAGACCCCTTGGGCATCACTCTCCAAAGGGAGACTCTAATCCTGAGCCCCCCACCTGCCTGCCTCCCCGCTCTCAAATCCTAGAGCTGGAAGGGGCCCTAAGAGACCATCTAGCCCAACCCCCTGCTGTGGAGGGAGCCATCGCAGAAGTAGCTCCTAGAGGTGTCCACACAGCCTCGCGTTCAGAGCTTATTTTATGAACATCCAGCCTAGAAGGGCCCCATTGTATTTTGGAGATACCAAGAGACCAGTAAACATTTGGTCTAAATGACCCTTGCGATGGTCATTCTGACTCAAGGCAAAGGCTGCAGGAAAGGCTGTGGTGGCCCTGGCCTTGAGCGTCCCTTTAGCCAGAGAGTGACCAGAAGTCAGTCAGTTACTTTGGCTGCACCAAGCAGCAACAACCACAGTGTTATATTGGTTTTTGTTTTCAGAATGTGACTTACTTGCATGCTGTGCATTTGGGGGCCCTTCTTATTATCGGTGGTCCTCTCTGTTTGGGTGGCCAGAGCTGGAGACCCCTCCCCATGTTGCTTTTTGTGCTTTCCCTTTGAGGATTCTCAACGCACAGACCTAGGCCACTCTTGACTGACCAAACAGCCACGAAAGGGCCCCTTATCTTCAAGTAAACGGCTCAGGAAACACTGCAGCCTGCGTTGGCCTTTGTCAGTGTGGCTTTGGCAATGGATTTCTACGCAGCCCCTCAGGCCAAGATTCTGGACCCTGCCTCTCTGGCGCATGGAGGCATGCGCTCCTTCTCTGCCCGCTTTCCAGGCAGAGAGCCGCATCAGAGGGAAGCAGGCGCACAAGAGGGTAGCCGTCCCTTTTTATTTCCATCACAGAACTTCCAGAAAGAAGGAGGGGGGGGGGCTTTCCTGCTTTTGGAACAAAGACATCTTTGGTGTCATTCAAAAAAGGGAAAGGAGGGTGGCACGTGACCGCTCCTTGTTTCCTTGCACCTGCAAGGAACCCGCACAAGCCCCAACCTGCACAAGAAGGAAAAGAGCCGGGGTCGGCTGCTGTACATACGAAGGCACAAATCCACGCGGATTGGGGCAAATTATTTCCTTCTCTCTGAGATCCTCTATTATGCAGATCTAAAGAATGGAGTGTTTCCTCTGAAACGAAAAGTGTCCCATTGTTCTGTTTTGCCACTTGGACCATATATTTTCTATCGCCTTTACCTTAAGAGGTTTGACCTGTGCAAGGAAACACACACGCTGCCGGTAAATACTTTTGCGCCTCTTCCTCTGCGGTTTGTATTTATTGCTGCGAAGCAGGGAGGAGGCCGGGGTCGAGTCCTCCCTCCGAGTTTCCGCCTGCTCTGCTGTTCTCACCAAGAGGCTTCCCAATCCAAGATTCTTCTGGGTAAAGCTAACCCAGTTCCTGTAACCAAAGCCCAATGGAGGAAGGGGCCAGCCCACCCCCCAATCCCACCTTCTCCTAGAAGGAGAGAAAAGACCACAAAGTCCGGTCTTGAGACCTGGAGGGGACCCCAAAGGGCACCCAGTCCAACCTCGTTCTGCCATGCTGGAAGACACAGCTAAAGCACTCCTGAAAGATGCTCACTCAGCACGAGAGTCCCCAGCACTCTTTGTTTCAAGACCTTTGAAGTCTTGAGCACCTTAGAACCTGGACACACCTTGGGTTGCCACCGAGTCCAAGCCGCTCCGCAAGTGTCCCTGCATCTCTCCATCGGGGCCTTCACCAAGGTCTCCAAACCGAGTCTGATGGGAGGGAGGGGGCGCCCGATCTGGGCGAGACGGCATTTGTTGGCACAGGCAGCCCCCCTGACCCGACTCCTGTGCCGGCGAAGAGAGGGATGGCCGCATTGCTGCCGTGGGGTGCAAAGGCCGTGTTGGGGATGAGGAAGGCGAACTGCCCGTCAGAGGCTGGGACCAAGTGGAAGCCGCCCAAGACCTGGGGGGCCTCTCCGGGGACCACTGCGGGGCCACCGGGTGCCATCTTGCAGGGAGTCCCACTGCCAGCTGTGGGAAGGGCGCCTGTGGCTGGGACCTGGACCAGTGCCTGGCCAAAGGAGGCCGCAGGTTGGGATCCGGGGGCCGAGGGGAGCGGCTGCGGCTGCTGCTGCTGTGAAGCGGCCGGGAAGCGGATGGCGCTGATCTGGCTCATGCAGCCGGCCAGGTGGCCCAGGAGGCGGGTGCGGACCTCTGCGTTGACCCCCTCGCAGGTGGAGAGGAAGCGCGTCACCTCGTTCACGCACTCGTTGAAGCCGGCCCGGTACTTGCCCAGCACCGAGGGGTCCGTGTTCAGCACAGCTGCAGAGAGAGGAGGGGGAGGAGGAAGAGTCCGGGGTCAGAAAACCCAAAGGTCATCTAATCCATCTCCCTGATATTAGAGCAGGAAAGCCACCTCAGGCAACCCTACAAGGTGGCTATTATTATTATTATTATTATTATTATTATTATTATTATTATTATATTGTCGAAGGCTTTCATGGCCGGAATCACTGGGTTGTATGTTTTTTCGGGCTGTATGGCCATGTTCTAGAGGCATTCTCTCCTGACGTTTCGCCTGCATCTATGGCAAGCATCCTCAGAGGTAGTGAGGTCTGTTTTGGGAAAACAGACCTTGACATTTGGGAGTTGTAGTTGCTGGGATTTATAGTTCACCTGCAATTAAAGAGCATTCTAAACTCCATCAACGATAGAATTGGGTTAAACTTTCCACACAGAACCCCCATGACCAACAGAAAATACTGTGTTTTCAGGTGGTCTTTGGTGACCCCTCTGACATCCCTTCGCGACCCCCACAGGGGTCCCGACCCCCAGGTTGAGAAACACTGTTTTAGAGGCATTCTTGTGCGCCAGCTGCGCC